GTGGCTTTGGCTCTACAGCGGGCGTGGCTGCCCTGGGTGAGTGGGGCGCCAGTCCCCACAGACCTGTGTGGCGGGCTAGGGGAGAGGCAGCTGCAGACCCTGGTGGAAGTCTGGAGGGAGCCCTTTCTGCCCACACGGCACCTGGCCTCACCTGCTCTGCTTGACCAGGCCATTGCACGCCCCAGGGCAGCCTGGCCCTCCATCCTGGACCTCCTCTACCACTCACTGTGAAAGCGGGGTGGGGTGGGCCACTTCGGGGGTCTGAGACCATCATGTGACCCAGTGCCAGAAGGCACCAGTGAGGGAGTGGACGTGAGTAGCTTTCCTCCGACGTGGCTATCCCCAAAAGTAAATTCACCCACTAACGGGACAGCCCTTTGTCATGGCCTGTGTGCTCAGCCAGTTCCTGAGGTCCCACGGAGGCACTGTCTCTCCTGTCATGGGCCCCAGGGAGGTTTGGATGTCTGGGATGTGTGGATGGAGCACCCAAGCTCGGGCTCAGCGAGGTGTCACGGCCCGTGTGGCCGTTCACAGCACCCCCAAAGGCCCTCGATGAGCCGGATGCCGAGCTGGCTGGCAGGAGGAAGGAGGAGGAGCCAGGGGATGGCTTCCATGTGAACGCCCGGCACCTCCTTTACCCCAGCTCCCCTGTCACCCGCTTCCCCGTGCCCAACGAGAAGGTGCCGTGGGAGGTGAGTGCCCACTCTGCTTGTGCCCAAGCTCTAGGGACGGGAGGGAGGCCCCGTCCTCAGCTCCTGGGTGGCCCCCATGGCTCTTGCCCATGGCACCTCACGGTCCTGAGTGCCTGGCTGACCTTCTTTGACTGATGGGGAAATTGAGGCCCATCGCTCAAGGAAGAGAGGGGGCCTTGTGGGCGCAGAGCTCACAGCCCAACGCTGCCTCTTTGGCTCGTATTTGCCCAGCAGTCCTGGCCCTGCCACTGTCTGCCAACCCCTGTCCCTGACCCCACTGTCCCCTGGAAGCAGCAGCTGCCCCCTCGGCCAGTGCCAGGCGTGGAGGATGAGAGCCCCTTCACAGGTGCACCCCGGCTCAGGCTGCCCTGCGCCCTTGGGTGCTTTGAGTCCTAGTGGTGGTGGCCTTGGCTATGAGCGCACTCAACCCCTTGGGGTGCTGGCCCTGCTCTGCCTTGGGGATGACCTGAGGACGCCTACCCTGTGATGCAGACAGAGTTTCTGATCTACGAGCCTCCTTTCTACACGGCTGAGAGAAAGGACACATCCCTCACGGACCCCATGGGAGAGTGAGTATCCCTGGGACCCGGGTCCCTCTCCGAGGGACCCCAAGAACCCTCCACCCCAGACAGTCTCTCCCCTGAGGCCTGGGGGGCGCAGCTGCCTGTCTTGGGCACGCCCTTCCTGTGCCCTGTCACCACCTGTGGCTAGAGGCCCCTCTGTGAGCCAAGTCCTGGGGACACCCGCGTCCTCTTGCGCCCCACCTCCTCTCATGAGGATGTGTCCCCCTGCTGTGCTCCCAGTGTCCCTGAGCCTCTGGCTAACATCCGGTACAACGCCCTAGACGGACCCACGGACCGCCGCAGCTTCCACGGGGCCTACGTGGTCCAGGACGGGCTCCCCCTGTGAGTGCCGGGCCTGAGGGGTTGTCTCTGGGGCTGGTACCCTTCCCTTCCTTGGCACATTGGGTCATTTTCTGTGAAAACAAACCAACCACAAGCATCACCTCCAGGTGCTTCTGAGCGCCTGGCCTAGAGCTGCCCTTGGTGCTGTCACCAGCACTCAGCAGGGAGGCCCTGAATCTGCCCCAACTCAGAGGAGCCCCGGGGACTTGGATTTGTGGGTGGCAGAGTGGGCACACGGGTGTGAGAGGGTGGCATGGATGGTGACCTTGCCTGGTGACTGAGAGGGGGGCTTCGGCTCACAGTCCAGGAGGCGGAAGCCAGCGTGTGATGTCAGGTGTCCGTGTGCCAGCTGGGGCCCCAGAGAAGGGTCTCTGCTGTGGCAGGGCCATCAGGGGTGAGGCTGCTGGATGTGGGTGTCAGGGGGACGTCATGGAGAAGGGGAGCTGGCTCTTTGGAGAACATTCTGGAACGGAGTGGATTACTTCGGGAGACAGGAGGGGCCGGGACAGACCCCGTGCCCAGGTGCCCTGCTCTGGAGGTGGGCATGAAGAGCAGGGCATGGTGGTGCTGCTGACAGTGTGTCTGGGGTGGCGGGAAGTGCAGGCAGGAGGGAGCAGGGACGTCCTGCCGATGGGACAGGGGGAGTGGTTGGCCCTGTGGAAATGGGCTACAGCGAGAGGATGAGAGTTTGCGCATCATAACACAGTGATGTCGTTCACTTGCAAGTCATGCTTTCACTCCACCTCCCTACATCTATTTTCTGTGAAATCACTGTCCTTGGGAGACATGTTGCTAATAACACAGTGTTTATCTTGGCCTGTGTTTCCGACCCAAGGTGGAGAGCCTGTGTGAGAGCCTGTGTCTGCTGACGCCTTCCTGCTGGTGGTGTCACATGGCAGGGGAGGGCAGGGGGCTCTGGCTGGGCTGGCTGACACCGCCCCTCACACTCACCCACCAGTCAGTCACACTGTGCACTGTCGCTCTTAGAGGTTGGGTCCTGACTCTGAATATCTCAGAATGTGATCAGATCTTGATGTGAGTCTGGGAGGGGCCACACGATATTCAAACCACAATCACCACTACAGTATACTCTTCTGTGTCTTGTAGTATATTTTAGAATTAGGTTTTTCACTTAGGGTTTCAACACAGCTGGAGGTTGAGGTGTGAGGAGGGAGACTATGAGTTAGCTTCCTGCTGCTGGACCCAGTACTGGGATAATGGGCTCATAAAGAGGGAAGGTTGACTTTGGCTCCCAGTGGGAAGCGATTCCATCCATGGTATTCAGTCCTGCTGCTTTGGCCCCCGGGGAGCAGTGGCTATGACAGGGTGTGTGTGGTGAAGAGGAAAGACTTGGGCTCCTGCAGGGCTCCCAGGGACCTCAAGACCTTCCCTGGGCCCCACCGCCCAGGCTCCACCATGCCTGGCTGCTGGAGAGGTAGAGTGGGTCTCTCTACGGCCCCTGCCCCTGGCCCAGGGGAAGCATGTGGAAGGCAAGGACAGTGGCTGGGAGGCAAAGGCCAGCATGCTGGGTGGCTGCTGTGCTGGAGACAGAGAAGGCCACAGACAAGGCAGGGAGGCCTTCAGCGGAAGGGAGAGTGGGAACAGACCTGAAATTGTGGGGGACAGTCAGGCTGGCACCCTCTCCTGGGGTGACCAGAGAGATGACTGCTGTGCCAGGTCTGCGGGGCCCAGTGCCCCAGTCACGGGGAGACAGAGGGAAAGCGGGTATCTGGGGTGTCCGAGAGATAGGCCTGGAGGGTGCAGGAGGCTGAGGGACAGGCCGCTGAGGACCGAGCACTGGGCCCCTTCCCCATGCCAGCCCGTGAGCCACTAAGGGTCCCCACTCTGTAAGGGAGGGGTGGCCACAGCAAGGCCAGACTGCTTCCAGGGAGACCCTTCCCCGTGCTGCGTGCCCCCACTAGCCAGGAGCCCTGCCCTGGTCTTAGCCTCCCCAAAAGATGAGCCCGCCCCCCTGGGTGGCCCAGGACTGGGTGGGAGCCCAGAGTCCCCCGGCACCAGGGGGCAGCTGAGCTGAGTCCTCTCTGCCCCAGGAACCCCATGGGCCGCACAGGGCTGCGTGGACGTGGGAGCCTCAGTTGCTTTGGCCCCAACCACATGCTGCACCCCGTGGTCACTCGGTGAGTACCTTGGGGACACAGTCACCCACGTGTCCATGAGAGGTGCTTTCAAGGGACCCCCATGTGCTCTGAGAGCCAGAGGACTGCTGTGCTGTCGGGGGCAGGTGAGGGGCCTCTGTGGTTCACTGCGGACACCCTGAAACCCGGCAGGGATGAGCCCGTGGGCTGGAGCCCGCTCTTGTTTCCTGGGACCCCGAGAGTCCCACTGGGAGGCGGGCTTGCATCCAAGGGGAAATAGTAAGGCAGTGAAAGTGTAACTCTAGGTCTGCCGACCTTTCTGTCAGGGACTTGTCCTGCTAGGAGACAGGTGTGCACGTGCGTACACACTGCATGTCCACAGCTGCATGCACACACCGCTGCACACCTGCGGACACACGCATGCGTCCCCACGGCCCGCCCTGTGCAGCTCTCACAGCCGCTGGGTGCTCGGAACCGGAGTCCTGCCCACCGTCAGGACCAGCGGCAGCCTGGCTTTGTCCCGGTGGAATCACAGGGCCCAGTGCAGCTGCACTCAGCTCAGCGCCCTGTGGGGCTCATGCCAGCATCTCCCGAGGCCTGGGGCTGGAAAGCGGGGCCCATTGTGTGCTTTTCTAGGCTTTTTATTTTACATCAGTACACACCTGCCGTATATAATGTCTGCATTCAGCTTAGGGAGTAAGACTTGTACTTAACACATTTTAATTCTTTTTGTTCGCCTTCTCACCCCCTCCTACCCCTCCCTCTGTCTCTAGATCCCCTTCCCATTTGTAAAAGTCCTACGACCCTGTTTCTACTGGTCTGTCTATCTTTTATTTTGATGAATGGGTAAAGAAATCGTGATATTTGTACCGGAGTTACTGCTCTGCCATAGAGAAGGACAAACTTGAGTCATTTGTAGGCAAGGGGATGCAGCTTCAGACCACAGTGTTAAGAAATAAATCAGACACCCTTGTTTTAAGGCTTTTGATTAAAGATCTCCCAAATGCTTGGGCCCTTTCTTCCCTCCCAGTGGTTTACCGAGGTGGGGAAGACCATGATTTTCACGGCAACTGTCTCTGGTCTTCTGTGGGCTGAGATCCTCAGGAGAGAAGGGGAGGGATGGTGGGCTGGCAGGGGCCCAATCCACCCCAGCCCCGGGCAGGGCAGGTGCAGGCGCAGGCTGCTGCTTGGGAAAGGGTGGGCTGGTGACCAGTGCACTTGCACAGGTGTGAGTGGCTCCCTTCACAGGTGGAGGAGGAATCAGGACGGTGCCATCTGCAGGAAAAGCATAAAGAAGATGCTGGAGGTGCTCGTGGTGAAGCGGCCCCTCTCGGAGCTCTGGGCCCTGCCAGGGGTAGGATGGGGCCAAAGCAGGGTTGAGCTGATTATGGTGGGGCGGTGGGCTTGGCTCCTCATGTGCCCTTCTACCCCTCCCTCAGCCTGCTGTCCCAAAGTCCTCGCCTCCCCTGGGGCTGGGCGGCAGTTGAGGCTGACACTGTGCTTTTCAGTCCCCCTCCTGCTTCTTTTTCTGCAGCTGAGGTTCAGGTTCTGTGGAATGCACAGGCACTAACTGAGAGCTCACTGCGTCCCAGGCAGGGCTCCCTAGGGGCCAAAGGCTCTGTGGAGCTCAGTGTGGGGGTGGTGGCTTCTCCCAGGCTCTCCACCACACATCTGCCCTTCCCACCCACACCTGGGGTGAGCTCTGCCATTATCCAGGGCAGGGGTGGGCATGGCCTGCCACAGGGTGGTGGCTGGCTGCAGGCACTAGAGCTGGAGACCTGGTGGGGAGACTCGGGGACAGATGCCCAGGACCTTCCTGCTCTGCCTCACTGCAAGGTCAGAGTGCATCCTCCTGAGACCCAGGACCGCCAGCCCTGGCCATGGCACCTGGCATCTTTTCCTGTGCCTGTTTCCCTGCCCTCTACCCCACTCTGCAAGAAGCCCTTGTCCTCCATCCCCAGCTCTGCCCTGTGGCCCAGCAGCTGCCTCTGCGGGAAGCACGTGTCACATGACCTGCCACCTGGGCGTTCAGGCCTGAGCGTGGATGCCAGGGCCAGAGAGATGCCCCAGTGGCCTCTCAGGCGAGAGGAGGGCCTGGGTCCAGAGAAAGGTGCAGGAGGCATAGGGCTGTCCTGGCTCCTCTGCTTGGGTGCTGACTGGGACAGGGCTATGGGCAGTGTCATGCCTGCCCCGAGTGGTCAGGGCCCGGCCTGCTGCCCACTCTGGGCTGGGGGCCAACAGGGATGGCCCTGGTTGCCTGAGAGCCGTGGGCACCTTACTGAGCAGCCTTTACCTCTCTGCGCAGGGCTCCAGGGAGCCAGGGGAGACACTGCCAAGGAAGCTGAAGCAGATCCTACTGCGGGAGGCCTGGCTGGAGGTGGAGGGCCTACTGCAGCGGGGCTCCGAGGTGGGCAAGACGCATGGGGAGGCGGGGCCAAGTGACTGGGTGGGACCCAGAGGTGGGCGGGGCTCGGAGCCACGTCTGGTCCTGAGGGCTGGAGGAGGAGCCCAGGATGCAGCGGACCTTTCAGTCCTACTGATGGCAGCCCTGTGAACCCGGGTCCCAGCCAGGTCTCCAAATCCCTTCTTAATTTTTTTTCTGAACGGGGGATCGAACTCAGTACCTTGCACTTTCGAGGCAGATAGAGGAACCACTGAGCTAAACCCCCAGCCCTCCTAATCCTTTCTGCAGAAGCCGGAATCCTTTTTTGCCAGGCTGGGCATCCGCCATGATTGTGTAATCACGTGTGGTGCACATCTCCCGCAGCTGCCCTCCTCAAGTTGTTAACTCATGGTTTGGTTTCCAACTTCACCTCCTGCTGTGCCCGGCTCTGGGTGTCCCTTCTCGCCTGGCCTGTCCTCTGGTGGTGCCTCTATTGTCCAGTGTGGATGGTGCTGTCTCAGGTGACTGAGAAGTTTGACTCACCCACCCAGCAGTGTGGCTTCCCCTGTGCAGGCCATGGGCGAGCAAACACCATCTCCGTTTGCTCACGACTTAAAGGAATTCCATTTTTACTGAAGTGAGAGTCACGTGACATGAAGCTGACTTTGTGGGTGTAGGGGGCGGCCTGGGCTGGAGCCCAGAGCCTCTTCCTGCGTGTTGGCCAGCGCTAACCCCTGAGCAGCATCCCAGGCCAAGACTGGGCGCAAGTGCCTGTGTCCCTGGTGTTCGGCACTCGTAGTATTGCACAGTCTCCACCTAGTTCCAGGGCTTCCATCATCCTGGAGGAAACCCTGTTGCTGCTTTGGCAGGCAGCCGGTGGCCCTTGCATGGACGGCATTCTGTGTGGGTCCCACAATGGCGGTTTCCAAGGCCTCGGGGGCCTGGCAGGACAGCTGCCATGTTTGCAGCCAGTCGGGGAGGCCCTCTCCTGGGGCCCGGCCCACTGGTGGTGAGTGGGGGGCCCGGGCCCACTGCTGACCATCTCAGCCCTGCTGTGCCTCCAGGTATACAAAGGGTACATGGATGACCCTCGGAACACAGACAATGCCTGGATTGAAACGGTGGCCACCAGTGTCCACTTCCCAGACCAGAACGACGTGGAGCTGAAGAGGCTGAACTCTGTATGAGGCGGGACATCCGGGCAGGGATCCCAGGGGTTTCGGGGAGGGGCTTCTGGAGATGGGTCTGCCAGGCTCCCCGGTCCAGCCCAGGGCTGGAGATAGGGGTGCCATGGGGCTCAAGCCCAGTCTTTTTTGGAAGTTTTCTGGAAGGGAGAGGCCAGAGACTACACCAGGGGCGTGGAGTGAAGGTCTTGTGCAGTACCAAGATGGGGCCCCCCCGGCAGGGTCTTGAGAATCAGTCGGGGTGGCTGGCAGGGCTTTCCGACTTCTGCAACTACTCCATTATGGGGACACCTGTCCCCACATGTCCATCAGCTCCACATCTCCCTAACCAGAACCTGGTGGGCAGGTTTCCCATAGGGGAACCTCTGAGCTGGAGGCGTCTTGGCCTCCCTGTGGGGGTCTCGGGTCTCAAGGGGTTCACAGCAGGCATCCTGGTCTGTGTTGCAGTGAGCTGGCCATACTTGGGCTGGAGGCAGGTGCAGGGTCACCACGCCCCTGGAATCTGAGGTTTGGAGCTCTCGGGCTGGAGTGACGGCTGCCTCTGTCCTTGCAGCACCTGCATGCCTGCGACCCAGGTGTGTCCATCCGGTGGCAGGTGGTGGACAAGCGCATCCCACTGTATGTGAACCACAAGACCATCCTGCAGAAGACAGCCGCTCTGTTCGGGGCCCACTACTGACCGTGTCCTCTGCTGGACCCTGGGGACCCGGCTGCTGTTGGACCAGGGTGACACCTGCTGCCTGAGGCGTGTGCCACCCTGGACCTGTTGTGCTGTGGCTTGGGGACCTGCCACCCTATGAGGCCGCTGTGAGGGCTGGGGCTGCTGCCATCAGGAGGAGCTGGCGCCCACACAGCCTCACCCTCAGCTGCAGTCCTCCCTGCTCAGTCCTGTGGTCTCGCACAATGCATCCACACAGGAGTTGCCTGGAGAGCTGGGGCCCTGTGAAGTCCCCTGCCTGGGCCTGCCAGGACTGGGGTGGCTGCGCCTGACTTGCCCCTGAGGTGCTGGGACCTGACGTTGACCCTGGCCTGGCCTGCCCTGGCCTGGGCGGGGACACCTCGGGAGGCCTGGCTCACTGCCCAGCTGTCAGGCTGTAGAAGCACAGAGAGAGAGGCTGGCTCTGCAGGGAGGGGCAGGCAGTGGGGCGGGAGAAACAGCAGGGCCCCCTGGTCTGGACTTGGTGACTCACAGAAGCAGAAACCCTCAGGAGCCCGTCAGGGTGGGAGCGATGTAAAGCCAAGATGTTAGATCTCATTAACCTCAGGCCAGCCTGGAGGCCCTCCAGCACTGTTCATGATAAAGTTCTGCCTTTCAGCCATGGGTGACTTCCTGTGCTTCCTGGCTCCTCCCCTGGTGGCAGTGGCCCCAGCTGACAGGAGTGGCCTTCCTGGGTAGCAGGTCCCTGAGCCACGCAGCACCCCTGTTGATGTCTCCTAGGCGCAAACCTGGCTTTCTCCTGGGCCCCCAGCCTCCTTCTCCATTTCCCTAGGTCTGCTTCAGTGTCCCAGTGTCACCCATGCCTCCCAGGGACTGGCATCCACCTGCCCCACCTTCCACCCACCCACAGGGTGACGGTGCCCTGTTGGCAGGGACACTTCCTGGGGATTCTGGGCCTCTTTCACCATTCTCAGAGCACAGCCTGCCCAGCCATACTGTCTTCCCCTGGACCAGAGCTCCAGCCTCTGTCTGTGTCGCAGAGCCATAGCCTCCAAACCTTTCCCTTCACCACTTTTGGGAAAGGGGTCCCTTGGGAGCGTGACAAGGGATGTTAGGGAGGGGTGTGCTGACCCAGGGGAGTTGCTTTTGGTACAGAGGCCCGGGAGGGGACTGTCACTGGGCCTTCTGCTTTCTAGTGCAGGCTTCTGAGGTTGGGCAGAGCCCAAGATTCCAGGAAATTCAGGAATTCTGGGAGTGGTGGGGAGGCTCCCTTTGCCAAAGCCGAGGAGGCCAGATCTGTTCAGCGGCTGTGCATTCATTGCTGAGGCCCTGCCTTGGCCGCCTGGCAGGCTTCCTGGGCTCCCTGCCCACCTATTCTGTGTTGTGTGCCAGGGAAATGGCTGCCAGCCTGAGCATCCTTCTGAGCTCTGGGCAGGTGTGGGGCTGAGGCAGAGAGGCTGTGGGGAGGCTCCAGGAAGGAGAAGGACAGGGCAGCAGCAAAGACCCAGGCTATCTGCAGCTGGGAAGGGCCTGTCCACATCAGCTGTGTGGCCTTTCCAGGTATGGGAAGGGCAGCACTGGCCACGCCAGGGTGTTTGTTCACTCGACTGACTTCATCCTCTGTTCTGATCCCTGGAGAGATGCATTCAGCCCTGGCCTGGCCAGAGCATCCGATGTGAGAGCGATTACCCGGAAGCTGCATGCCATGCCCAGACCAGGCACCGGATGCCAGGCAGATTAGCAGGCGCTATTGCCAGCCAGAGTACACAGGCTGCCACAGCACCCGGCTGGCATTAGAGCCTGGGTTTGGAAGCACAGGCAGAGGTCAGAGTGCACAGAGGGGTCCTCGGGGTCCTCAGATATCTCCTTGGTGAGGGAGGCCATCCACACAGACTCAAGGGTCCCAGAGGGAGCGTGCTGACACCAAAGTGGTCTGGTCACACATGCAGGAGGATATGATGGGTCCTAGCTGTGCATGAAACCCCAGATCAGCTACAGAAACAACACAGCAGAGGGAGGAAACCAGGTCGTGAAAACTGTGTCCTCCAGCTTCGTGTCTCCAAGTGAAATACCAGAGGCGACTGACCTTATAAACAGAAAAGGTTAATGCAGCTCAGAGCTGACAGCAGCAGGGGCATGGAGAGGCAGCCCCTCAACTGCGTCACTCCACGGAGTGGACGGTGATGGCAGGGAGTGTGTGTGGGAATGGCTCCCCACATCTCCAGCTGGAAGGTGGGGGAGATGGGACCCCAGTTCCTAGCTTCCTTCCTCCAGGCCTCACCTCCTGAAGGCTCCACTCCTCCCCTCAATGTGGCAGGCTGGGTACTGAGCCTGGATTTCCTGGTAATACCCTTTGTTCCAGGGTTCCACTTCTCTCTGAGCTGTCACTTCTCCACTCTCTTCCAGTCCATAGCGGTGACTCAGACTTTGCCTTCTCCTGTGGTTTTCTCAATTCTGAACATACAACCTGTCACTCTGTACTCTGTCCTTCGATGTGGTTGCATGTGGTGCCTCCTCTCAGCTGTGATGAGGGGACCCATGGGCAGTGGTCACAGGAGCCAGCGAAGCCATCGCCGTGCCCCCGGAAAGGGTGGTGCTGTCCATCTGCCCTATCACTGTTAACCCTGTCCCTGTCACATGGTCAAGGCCTTTTCTCCACGGCAGAGTTAGTATCTTTTCCTTTGGAGTGAATACATTTATTGAGAGAGGTACTGTGATACTGAGGAAGTCCTGAAGGAAATTTAGTGTTATGGTTCATATTTAAATGTCTCCCCAAAGCCTCATGTGCTCAGAAGTGGGGACGTGGGGAGGTGACTGGGTCATGGGGTGTGATACTCATCAGAGGATGAGTCCATTGATGACTTTTATAGCTGAATGTGATGTTGGGAGGTGGAGACTGGGGCAAAGTGGCCTGGACGGGTGTGGATAGATGTCCCTCCTCCCTCGATGACGCTGCCTCCTGCCTGCCCTGCCATGGACTGTTTCTCTTCTGTGATGCCCCTCTGCTGTGCCACCCTGCCAGCCTATATGGACTGAAACCTCCGCATACTGTACATACTGAGTAATAATCCTCTCCTCCCTTAAGTTATTGGTGTTAGAATTTTGTCCCAGTGACCAGAAAAGTAACTAAGACACTAAGTAATAGAGCCACATGGGGCTGGGAGTGAAAGGTTCGTAAGTGATGGGCCTACACTACCCTCCTCAAGAGGGTCTGTACTAACATCGTTCCCAAGTGTCTGGAAATTTAAAATTACACTTCCAAACTCCTAAGTCACAAAAGGAATCCAAAGGGAAATTATAAAGTATTTCAAACTTGGTGATAACAAAAATACAAGACATCAAAATCCTGGGATGTAGTTGTAGTAGTCCCTGGAGGGAAGTTCACAGCGCTGATAGAGGCCAGTGACTTTGGTTTCCAGTTGGAGAGCCTGAAAAAGAAGACAAATTTAAACTGATGGAAATAAGTGAAAGAAAGAATAAAGATCAGAGAAGTTAATGAAAACAAAAAGTGAAACAAAGAAATCAATGAAGCCAAAAATTAATTCTTTGGCGAGATCAATACACTTGATAAACTTCTATCCTGATGATCAGTTTAAAAAGAGCCAAAAATTACCAATGGGAATGAGAGAGGTGACATCGCTCATTTTAATATTTTATAGGTATTGAAAGCACGATGAGGGCATATTAAGGGAAATTTTTTGCTGATGAATTCAACAACTTAGATGAAATGGACAATGACTAGGTGATACAAACTAGAAACATTCTATCAAGAAAACAGTATCCTCAGCAGCTGTGTGTGACTTAACCATATCCCAAAATATTGCCTCACATCCAACTGGCACTTACCCCAAGAAGACAGGGTTAAACTTAGTCTCCATGTTATTCACCATACTATCAGAATGCAGCAGACAATGTCAGTTGATGCAGAAAAAACAAAATCCACCATCTGTTTCTGGTTAAAAAAAAAAAACTTCAAAAACGAGAAAGGATGGTTTTTCCAACAGTCACAAACTGATTGTCCCTACACAGAAAATCACCTTGAATTACATCTCACAATACACCCAAATTAATTCAGAATGGAATGTGCAAATTCCTATAATGTTTTTATGATTTGGGGTCAGGCAAAGATTTCTTAAAAGTATGATTCATAAAAAATTTAAGATGCTAAATTGAACTTTCTCAAAAGTAAAACTTCTAATCTTTGGAAAATAAGAGAATAAAAGATAACCCACAAACTCAGAGAAAATATACACAAATCACATATCTAATAAAGGCATTGTATCCAGAGGGACAAAGAACTCTCTTAACAAGAGAAAAAACAAATGGGGCCTGGGATTTAGCTCAGTGGCACAGTGCCTGCCTCTCAAGCATAAGGTGCAGAGTTTGATCCCTGGTAAAAACAAAACAAAACAAAAAACAAGACAAAACAAAACAAACAAAAAAACAGACCCCTGCTAGCGCCATTAAAAGTGGTTTGAGCAGAACACTTTGCTAAGAAATTACCGCACATGGCTGGCAAATAAACAAATGAACCAGGCATGGTGGCACATGCCTGTCATCCCAACACTCAGGAGGCTGAGCCAGGAAGATGCTGTGAGTTCAAGACCAGCCTGGGTTACACAGTGAGTTTATAGCCAGCCTGGACCACACAGCAAGATCCTGTCTCAGAATCACAATTCAGAACCCACCACACCTACTAGAATGTTCGGAGTGGAAAAGACCGCCCATACCCGGTCGGCGAGGATGGTTTTTGGGGTCCGTGAGGCAGCGTCAAGAGTCAGAGGTCAGCAGTCGCATGGTTTCACACCCCACAAGGTGTTCACTCAAGAAAACACGTTGTCCAGGACGGGTCCGCGCACTTCAGCGCTCCTGAAGGGTCCCAAACCAGAGGAGCCAGTGTGGCTGGGGAGCAGAGGCCACTGGGCGCAGAGGGCAGGACCCAGTCTCAAAATAGCCACTCCAGGGAAGAGGCCGGAGAAGGGCGATTCCATTTACGTAAGTCACAGGAGTGCAAGCCCGCCCGCAGCACGGTGACGGAAAGCATGCCGATGTCTGCACGAAGCACATTAAATGTGCTGTTTACTGCGTATCCAAGACACCACGAGGTTGTTCACAGAACCCCCAGGGAGGCTGAGGTGCAGCCCCAAGGCCGGCCCGCACCTTCCCGCCCTCGTCAGGCCCTGCAGTGCGGGTGCAGGAGCAGCAGCCCGGGCC